TACAGCTCTCCAGGGTCTCAGGCTAAGGTCTTTCCCACCACCTCCTGCCTGGTCCTTTTAACTGGCGATGCCAGTTGAACCTGGAAAATTCTGCATGTGAAGCAGGGGTTCTTCCACTGAGCCACAGCCCCTCTTTACAGCTCTCCAGGGTCTCGGGCGGAGGTCTTTCCCATCAACTACTGCCTGGTCCTTTTGAACTGGAGATGCCTGGGATTGAACCTGGGACCTTCTGCATGCCAGGGAGAGGCTCTGCCCCTGAGCCACAGCCCCTCTTTACAGCTCTCCAGGGTCTCGGGCGGAGGTCTTTCCCATCAACTACTGCCTGGTCCTTTTGAACTGGAGATGCCTGGGATTGAACCTGGGACCTTCTGCATGCCAGGCAGAGGCTCTGCCACTGAGCCACAGCCCCTCTTTACAGCTCTCCAGGGTCTCAGGCGGAACATCATCTCCTGCCTGGTCCTTTCAACTGGAGATGCTGGGGATTGAACCTGGGACCTTCTGCATGCCAAGCAGCGGCTCTTCCACTGAGCCACAGCTCTCCAGGGTCTCAGGTGGAGGTCTTTCCCATCATCTCCTGCCTGGTCCTTTTTAAGTGGAGATGCCAGGGATTGAACCGGGGACCTCCCGCATGCCGAGCGGATGCTCTGCCACTGAGCCACAGCCCCTCCCCGTGAAAAATGTACTACTAAAAAGAAACTTCAAAAATGTACTACTAAAAAGAAACTTCAAGTGTATCTTGGCACACGTTGTGCTCTGGACTAAGCAAGCCATTGCTGAACAACAGTGCTTCTGAGCCTGTGTAGACTGACTACCCAAACCAGCCTCTCCGGCAGCTGGTTCAGGGACCCTGGCGTGGGACTTGGAGCCTCAGACCAGCCAGTGGCCACCCAATGGCCTGTGGTACCCTCTGCTGGTGGGCGACCCTCAGTCCGCATCATCGGAGCACATATCTGGAGCCCTTCCTCCTGCGTTACTAACCCTGAAACATGCATTGACCCCCTGTGGCGGAGGGAAAACTCACACCCACCCGGCAAGCTTCCCTTGCCATGAGAAGGGGCAAAGACTCACACCCACCCGGCAAGCTTCCCTTGCCATGAGAAGGGGCAAAGACTCACACCCACCCGGCAAGCTTCCCTTGCCATGAGAAGGGGCAAAGACTCACACCCACCCGGCAAGCTTCCCTTGCCATGAGAAGGGGCAAAGACTCACACCCACCCGGCAAGCTTCCCTTGCCATGAGAAGGGGCAAAGACTCACACCCACCCGGCAAGCTTCCCTTGCCATGAGAAGGGGCAAAGACTCACACCCACCCGGCAAGCTTCCCTTGCCATGAGAAGGGGCAAAGACTCACACCCACCCGGCAAGCTTCCCTTGCCATGAGAAGGGGCAAAGACTCACACCCACCCGGCAAGCTTCCCTTGCCATGAGAAGGGGCAAAGACTCACACCCACCCGGCAAGCTTCCCTTGCCATGAGAAGGGGCAAAGACTCACACCCACCCGGCAAGCTTCCCTTGCCATGAGAAGGGGCAAAGACTCACACCCACCCGGCAAGCTTCCCTTGCCATGAGAAGGGGCAAAGACTCACACCCACCCGGCAAGCTTCCCTTGCCATGAGAAGGGGCAAAGACTCACACCCACCCGGCAAGCTTCCCTTGCCATGAGAAGGGGCAAAGACTCACACCCACCCGGCAAGCTTCCCTTGCCATGAGAAGGGGCAAAGACTCACACCCACCCGGCAAGCTTCCCTTGCCATGAGAAGGGGCAAAGACTCACACCCACCCGGCAAGCTTCCCTTGCCATGAGAAGGGGCAAAGACTCACACCCACCCGGCAAGCTTCCCTTGCCATGAGAAGGGGCAAAGACTCACACCCACCCGGCAAGCTTCCCTTGCCATGAGAAGGGGCAAAGACTCACACCCACCCGGCAAGCTTCCCTTGCCATGAGAAGGGGCAAAGACTCACACCCACCCGGCAAGCTTCCCTTGCCATGAGAAGGGGCAAAGACTCACACCCACCCGGCAAGCTTCCCTTGCCATGAGAAGGGGCAAAGACTCACACCCACCCGGCAAGCTTCCCTTGCCATGAGAAGGGGCAAAGACTCACACCCACCCGGCAAGCTTCCCTTGCCATGCGAAGGGGCAAAGACTCACACCCACCCGGCAAGCTTCCCTTGCCATGCGAAGGGGCAAAGACTCACACCCACCCGGCAAGCTTCCCTTGCCATGCGAAGGGGCAAAGACTCACACCCACCCGGCAAGCTTCCCTTGCCATGCGAAGGGGCAAAGACTCACACCCACCTGGCAAGCTTCCCTTGCCATGCGAAGGGGCAAAGACTCACACCCACCTGGCAAGCTTCCCTTGCCATGCGAAGGGGCAAAGAGTCACACCCACCCGGCAAGCTTCCCGGCAAAGCTGGCAAGCGGGCACCTCCCTGGCTGTTGGCACGCAGCCTGGCTCCACCGGTCCTCTCGGGCAGCAGGGGAGAGGTGCCAGGAGGAGAGAGGGTCCTCCCCAGGGGCTGGTGGTCAAAGCAGAAGGGCTGCCGCAGGGAGGGAGGGAGGGAGGGGGCACACTCACCGTTGCAGAACTGCAGGAGCAAGGAGGTGTCGTACAGGATCCCGCAGCCGGGCATCCTCTGGGCCATGCCCACCCACCCCCT